GAGACGGACGGGAAGGGCGAGGCGAGACGGACGAGAAGGGCGAGGCGAGACGGACGAGAAGGGCGAGGCGAGGCGGACGAGAAGGGCGAGGCGAGGCGGACGAGAAGAGCGAGGAGAGACGGACGAGAAGAGCGAGGCGAGGCGGACGAGAAGAGCGAGGCGAGGTGGACGAGAAGAGCGAGGCGAGGCGGACGAGAAGGGTGAGGCGAGGCGGACGAGAAGAGCGAGGAGAGACAGACGAGAAGAGTGAGGCGAGACAGATGAGAAGAGTGAGGAGAGACAGACAAGACGAGCGAGGCGAGACAGACGAGAAGAGCGAGGCGAGACAGATGAGAAGAGTGAGGAGAGACAGACAAGACGAGCGAGGCGAGACAGACGAGAAGAGCGAGGCGAGACAGATGAGAAGAGTGAGGAGAGACAGACAAGACGAGCGAGGCGAGACAGACGAGAAGAGCGAGGCGAGACAGATGAGAAGAGTGAGGAGAGACAGACAAGACGAGCGAGGCGAGACAGACGAGAAGAGCGAGGCGAGACAGACGAGATGAGCGAGGAGAGACAGACGAGAAGAGCGAGGCGAGACAGACAAGGCGAGGCGAGACAGACGAGAAGAGTGAGAAGAGACAGACGAGAAGAGTGAGGAGAGACAGACAAGACGAGCGAGGCGAGACAGACGAGAAGAGTGAGGCGAGACAGATGAGAAGAGTGAGGAGAGACAGACGAGACGAGTGAGGTGAGGCGAGACAGACAAGAAGAGTGAGGCGAGACAGACAAGAAGAGTGAGGCGAGACGGATGAGAAGAGTGAGGCGAGACGGACGAGAAGAGTGAGGCGAGACGGACGAGAAGAGTGAGGGAAGAGTGAGGCGAGACAGACGAGAAGAGTGAGGAGAGACAGACGAGACGAGTGAGGTGAGGAGAGACAGACAAGAAGAGTGAGGCGAGACAGACGAGATGAGCGAGGAGAGACAGACGAGAAGAGTGAGGCGAGACAGACAGACGAGATGAGCGAGGAGAGGCGAGACAGACGGGCGAGGTGAGACAGACGAGACGAGCGAGGTGAGACAGACGAGAAGAGTGAGGCGAGACAGACGAGAAGAGTGAGGCGAGACAGACGAGAAGAGTG